AATCAAAATATTAAATACCGTGATACTAAACTATGTAGACTTTGCTGCCATTCACCAAATATAATAGTATTTTTGTGCTGGTTTCTAAGCTAGCTGCAGAAATCCAAAATTGTCATTCCCTCTGTGAGAGCATTTTTAAGACAGGAGACAACTAATATATCCACTTTTAAAGCTAATCATTCTCAGTTCCTCACAATTGCCCGGTTCCTGTCTGGATTACCACTGGAGACCCTGGCACCCAAGTGCCACAGGCTTCCTTGTCAAATATAATAAGTATGTTCCAGGGGGGCCACACACAGCTCGAGGTTGGCTCTTAGCCATCTCAGCTACCCTCAGAACTGCCTTCCTAAAGGATTCTGGTAGAAAAGAGCCCATGTGGTCCAACTGGCAAAACTTTTACATACCTATATCTCCCTTTACAAGACAGAGGAGAGTTTGTGGCCTACTGGCCACCACTTCAACCCAAATTCACAACCACCACACACTTTTGTTTATGTGAGAGCTACCTTTCCTTGCTCTTAACGTCTTCCAATTGCCCTTGGGGCTCATTGAAGTCTCATAAAGACAGATATAGGGCAGCAATCTGCCAGGCCTAAAGAAATGAGGCCTCCTACAATAGAATTTGCCTTTGTGAATCATATACTCTGGTAAAATCCATTCCATCATCTTCAATGCAAGTTAGTGAGTATTAATAATTCATAGAGTTACAGATATGAAAAGTCTCTTCAATAGAGATTCCCTTACATCCTAAACTGAAGCTACTGGGTATTGGGATGTCTAGTTTTTGTCAACTAGACATAAGCCAAATCCCTGGGAACAGTCACGGAACCGACTCTAGTAGATCGGCCCATGGGTATGTACATAGGGGCATTTTCTTGATTAATGACACGGGAGGGCTGTGTTCATGTGGGCAGTAGCACCTTTGCACACTGTTCTTGGGTTGTGGAAGAAAAGAGTTTGGACAAGCAATGGAAGTGAGCCAGTAAACAACTTTCCTTCCTGGTGTCTGCTTTAGTGTTTGTCTCCAGGGCCCTACTTGAGCCTCTAAGTTGACTTGCCTTGATGAAGGACTCTAACTGCAAGTCAAATAAACTTTATTGTAGGTGGATTTTCCTTTCCTGTCTACCAGTTCCCAAATAACTGACATGGAGACTTACTATTAATAATAAACCCTTGGTGGATAGCTCAGGCTTATTACTAACTAATTCTTACATTTTAAATTAACCCATATTTTTTATCTACCCTGTGCCACATGGTGATACCTTCTGTCAAGAAGGCACCTTCATTTTGTTTCTTTCTGTGTCTGTTGAGACTCCTCTGACTACCCTTCTTCCCAGCATTCTCTGTTTGGCTATCTCCCTGACCTTATCCTGTCCAGCTATTGCCCTGCCAACTTCTTTATCCAACCAATCACAGTGACATATATCCATGCCCTATCCTCCCCAAGTTGTTTAAGATCATGGCGCTTTACTATAGAAACAAAACCAACTAGGCTAGTTATACTGTGACTTCACGAGGTTATAAGTTACAAAGAAATGAATGAGATGGCATCCGTAGACATCTTAACACTTTTGGTGCCCGGGAAGTTCATCAAATGTTGCCTGATCCCTCTCGTCTTCCCTCTCTCCATATCTATTGATCCATTCATCCACCTAACTTTCTATCCATTAATCTAAATATATACTTATTTAACATCCTTCTTTAAATTTTCTTCCTGATTCTTGACCAAGTACTTGGCCTGCTTAGATTCTGGATAGTTAATGGACTTCTACATTTCCTTTTCCTGGATCCTTAAATAATTTGGTCAATGTTTCAATCCACAAGCATTAGCAGAATGCCTGCTAACTGTCAGATGATTTGCTAAGCCCTTGGGTCATTAAGAAAGGCTTGGCCACCAACGTTAGTCATACAAGCCATAGCTATGGCTTACACAGACTAATAGTTTGTTAGAAAATCCAGCTTGTTAACACAGCTTTATTCCGTATAATAAATGATGTGGCAGATATAAGTGTTTCGGATAGGAGCATGGATAATGACCTGCGACTGGTGGTAGGGATGACTCAGGAAATTCTAAGCAGGAGTGACTAAATATTTTATATTAAAGAATAGAAGTTTCTTTTTGCTTGAGATCCAGAACTACTATTCACATAAGTGTGCTTGAAATCTGAGGTTATAGCTAATGATGAAAATTCCTCAAGCTCTGCCTCTAGACTATGTTTGAAGGCTGAAGAGCACACTGGGCCTTCTCATTGAGTTTTATCCTCAGAAGCAAACATCCTCCTTCATCCGACTCCAACAATGAGCATCTTTAAGATATTTGTCCATGTTTTCAGGTTTACTCTCCGGATTATCACTATCGGCTACTTTGTAGGTCAACCCCACATATGTGGGTCCCCAAGACGGCTTTTAGGAGATCTTAGTGTAAAAACCCAGAAGCTATCTCATAAAGACCAGATTTGTCTGGAAGGCCAGTAAGATGAAGCAGCTTCAAGATCACCTGCCTCACTGCATGACTGGTCAAACTTCATTCCCTAAGAGTTATAACCCTACCAGGCCAATGACACTGAGGTGTGCTCAGGACATTGAAAGAATCCAGAGCAGAAAATAACAGAGAAACCCAAGGCTCAGGTACTCTGTTATCATATGTAGAAAATAAGCGTTGGAATACTAAGCGTGGCTTGTTAGGACATCCCTCTATCCAAATGGTTGATGGTCTTTGTGATTCTAGCAAGACTATCTCCCAGATCTCTGACTTAGGAGCCTGTGCTTCCGCTGTGACCTTGCTGACCAGGGCCCAGGCATTCCTGTAATATGTATCTAATGTTCCTTTGCTTTTCTACTTTTCTGTTTCCCCCTAGTCCTTGGCATTGCTACTAATAACCTGTTTCTCCCTGTTCTTCCTCAGGAATCCCTGTTGCCTCATCTATGATGAAAAGCCAAACCACCAATTCAGCTTTTGAGCTTTACAAGGAAGTAAATACTGGCTTCCTTTCGAGGCCCACATTCACCTTTTAAACTTTTGTGCACATGATTACTTGTTTAAGAAAGGTAACCTCTCCTTGCTGGAAGAGTTTGCAAACTCTTGAGATTACATCAGCCCTGGGCTCACATTTTGTGAGGACGTGGGAATGACTGTTTCAATCTCCTATTTTAGAGATGAGCAGTCTCCTGTTCCACATTGTGACAAAGTTGACTTAAGGACAGGATCTACCTGCTAAACCATTGAAACAGATTTCTTCAAAAGGTTTCCCCCACTCCTTGGTCCCTGTTCCCAATAGCAGTAACCTCAGAAGAGATGTGTTGTAGGAGGCCACTTGTTTGTTCCCTGCTGCTCAGCCCCAAAATTACCACACAGAAACTGTATTGATTAAATCACTGCTTGGCCCATTAGCTCTAGCTTCTTATTGGCTGTTACATATTAATTTAACCCATTTCTAGTAATCCATTATTGGCATGAGGCTGTGGCTTACTGGGTAAAATTCCAGCGCCTGTCTCAGGAAGGACTACATGGCTTCTGACTCTGCCTTCCTTCTCCCAGCATTCAGTTTAGTTTTCCCCACCAGGCTAAGTTCTGCCTTGCTATAGGTCCAAAGCAGTTTCTTTAGTAATCCATGGCATTCACAGCACACAGAGGGGAATCCCACATCAAAGATGATAAAAGAGCACAATGGTGATGCTGGTTTATGTATGTGCTGTGCATGTTGAAATAGCCTTTTAAAACCCGGCTTCCCATGGACCCCATAAGAATGATGGAGTAGAGGAAAGTACAAAGGCCACCCTTGCCACTTTTCAGTCCAGGAAGTCAACTTTTACTGCATCCATTGAGCACAGTCTAAGTTACATAGTTGGCTGAGCAGGATCTAACTACAGTCCCTGACACCAAGTTCACAGTACGGAATTTATCCAACATACAATTACTGAACAGCTAGACTGTTCTAGCCCTGGGCTGGAGCATAAGGGAGAGAATCCTGGATGGGTACACCAGAGGCAGATACTGGTGCTTTTGTTATAAAGTGTCAGGAGTGTGAGTCAGAGAGTCAGTGGCAGCTGCGGTCCTACCTGGGAGTTAGGGTAAGCTTCATCGGCAGAAGTCACCTTGCTCAGCATGGTGAGGAGTTAGGCAGAAACACGGACTTGATTAGTACTCGGTACGACATTAGATAAACTCATTGCTATGAAGGAGTTTCCCGTGTAGCACTGTACAAAGTCAGGATGTTGTAGTGCTTAGATGAATGTGAATGGGGCACAAAAGAGCACAGGGGTCATGAGATGCTTAATCAGGGTCCCCAGGGCAGTATCCTTCCTGGCCTGGCTCGGAGAGGTTTGGACCATGGGGGCGTTATATGCTATCTATCGGTAGAGGTGCGCATGAGCACGTTGCTTGCGACTCTCCCTACACACTATTCCTTTTCAACATTTAGCTGGACTCCTGGGAGGAAGGAGGCCGCAGATCATTTGCTAGCCTTGAAGGCGCATCAGTTCCTTAGCGCTTTGAACCAGCTTCCTTTCATCTGGCTGTTTTCAGACTTAAAGGACACAGAACAGAAAGTGTCTGAAGGTCTGGATAGTGGTGGTGGGGGGTACAGATTGGAAATTCAAAGCAAGGCCCTTGGCAGCCCTGCTCTGCAGCAGCTCATCAGTTCCTGGGCTTCTCACAAGAGTGGGAGCCTGCACGCTCTTATTCCTGCCTGGCTCCTGCCTTGGCAACGGCATCTGTTAGCAATGAGAGAAGCAGGAGAGTGGGGGCAGGAGAAAGGTCTACTGAAGCAAAATGTGTTTTCTCACACACATAAAACCACAGGCCTCCTGGAGGCTAACACCCCTTCACGCCCCCCGCCCCTTACGCTTGAGTTTGTAATCAGAAGCATGCGATTGAAAGTTGGCTGTCTTAACAGAAAAGGGCTCGGTGAGGTACCTTCTCAGGTCCTCCCAGGGCAGATGAGCTGTTTCGAGTGGGTTGAAGTTTACTGGTCTGGGTCTGAGCTTTGTCAAGTTCTTACCTTAGGCAAATGGCTCTGAAGCAAAGCCAGCCTCTGACAGACGTACTTAACCTTGAGAAGCAAGCAGTCGAGTTACAAAACATCTCCTACTGCACTGAAACCGTTTATGGTGTTTTTGCTGAGCTGTATTCCAAGCTAGACCCAGCCGCACAGCAGACTGGATACACTTGTAAGACTAGCCCATTAAGGAGACTAAGTCTTTCAATGTTCTCAATCGAGTGCAGCAAACATTCTAGAAGGTTCTACACAACCCAAAGAATGGCTGATTGTCCACCTCGGCATTTAACACCCTTAGGAACTAATGTCTATTGTTCACCCAAATCGTAGATGTCAAGAAAATGAGAGTTAAGAACAATATTGGAAAGGAACTAGCATCAGATTCCAGATACTTGACTAGTTCAGATGTTTGAACTGGCGGAAGTGACATTAATCCTTCTCAGGAAATGATGGGTAGTGATCAAAGAGCTGGAGCTTTACCTACCAACAGCCCCGACTTCCTCCTGTGGGGTTTGCAGCTTAGTAGGGAAATCAGAGGCTGTGTCCAGTGAAGAGAATGAAGACTCCTCATCTAGACTCATTCTCTGATGCTTTAATACACAGTTACAGTGGTACATTGGTGGTAAATAGCAGGGGAAGGGGTTACAGGGTTAAACAAGGTAGAGGATTAAACAAGGAATTTAATTGTCTGGAAAGCCTTGTCTATTTAAGAACAAATGGATCAATTCACTGGAATGGAGATTATAACCTAGTAGAGGTGTATAGATGTAGAGTCCAGGGGTGGGGGGCAGGGAGTCTCCAAGGAGGCTAGAAAGGGATGTGTGCATGTGTGTTTGTGTGTGTGTGTGTGTCTCCTTATTTATTCTGTAGCCAGTTTTAAATGTGTCCCCTATGGATGCAGAGTCATTTTCCAAAGCCCACCAAATATTCCAAACCCTCGCTATAAACTGTAAGCCTGGTCATCGCTGACTCATTGTGCAACCCTGGAAATGATCATGTTCGTTTGCGAGTTTCTTGCATATTTATAAATTGGAGACCCCATTGCTCAGACCCTCAGCAGCCTTGGGGATTAATGAAAGCCTTGTTCACAAATGTCTTGGAATTCACAAAGGTTTAGATCGATAATTAACAAGAAAGAGAAGGCATAAACATTTCAAATATATATCAACTCCTCAATCTATAACAGCCAATAAGTCTAAGAACAGAGTGGCCACAATTTCCCCCAGTGACAGGCAACCCATGCACTTTCAAAAGTAATTCTTCAATGAACATAAATTACCCATTGGGGAAACCTTCCTCGTATGCCATGGCTGTGGATTTATTAAGTGAAAATGAAACTTTTAAATAAATATCTGGAACAAAAATGTACTTCCCATCAAATTGGGCCACAAGGCAAGAAGTTTTAAAACAGTGTGGAGACTGGAGTCTGAGAGTCAGAAGCCAGGACTTTTCCTTAGATGCTATTTTGCTGAGTCAGTTGCTGCAACATCTTGCTCCACCACTGCCCAATGCCTGGGCTCTCCTAGAGTGAGCCAAGAGCCAAAAAGACTCGCAAATGCTTCAACGAGACCCTTCCCAACTCCTGAGGCAATCTGATAGGGATAGAGGTATTTTGTGCCTTTTGAAAGATCTTGACTTCTTTTGAATGATAGTGATGGGAGTGGGGTGGGATGTGGTACCCAAAACAGATCTTGTAGTAGCGCTATTAGTATCATGACGTCATATTGACCAGGTGGAGTTGTTGATGTAGGTCTGACATATCTGTGTGTAGTATGAATGGAAGGGAACATGATTAAAATTTTAATATTTAATTAATAAATATGGGGATGTCCTTATATTTTCTCTAGTGACTCTAATAGTGTTTATCAAATCATTTGTATATTCAAAGAAACATATAGAGTATATATGTAAAGTATTCTATGTTATTTATATTACATAATATACTAACATATTTTTTATCATTTTGACCTATGGTCTTTCTAATGATATAATTATTGACATTGATATTGGCAATTTGCGTGTTTATTTTTCCTCCTTCTTCAATCTGGCTAGAGGTTGTTTAACTTCATTAAGTTAGATTTTTAGTAGTGCTATTAGTTTTCACTGGTTTGCTTATTTTATTTAGAAACTTTAATTTTTAGTTAACAAGTTTAATTCGTTCTTTCAAAAATTCTTTGACAGTATAATATATCTATACAATGAGTATTAGTAATTTTCACCAGTTCTTAATTGTCCTCCTTTTCTTACTTCTTTAGATCACAGAACAACAGATCCATTTAGGTACATAATATCAACCACACTATAGGACAGGTCTCGTATCCAGTAGGTGTGTACTTTTTGTTTTGGCACTTTTTGTCTTACTGGATTTTTTTTTTAAATTTTAATCTTTTGGGTTTTCTTTTTGAGGAAGGAAACAAAAAATTGGGTGGAGAAGGAGGTGGGGGAGAATCTGTGAAAAGTTAGAGGTAGGGAAAACAGAATCAGAATATAATATATTAATTTTTTAAAAAACAATATATTGAAATAATTAAGCTTTGCACAGAGGTGAGCCTGGAGAATCTTTAATAATTTAAGAATAATTTTAGGTTTATTACCAATTTGGGAGGAAGAAAAAGTGGTTTTTCATATATTTTCTGTTCCTACACATGAACTATCATCTATATTATTTAATGTTTCTTTTTTTAAAGTACAGTATATTTGTTATAATTTGTAAGCATATGTTGATATGTCATGGTTTACAACAGGGTTCATTCTTGCAGCTTTTGTACATTCTGTGAGTTCAAATAAATAAATGATAAAGGCCTGGAATTCACTATTACAGTATCAAACAGAGCCATTGTCCTGCCATTGAAATCCTCTGCCTTCCAACTCTCCAGTCCCGCCAGCTCCTGGGCTGCCAATAGCTACTGCTCCTTTTATTATTTCACTGTTTCTCAGGTGTGAGGTTGCTAGCATCATAAAGCGTGTCATTTAACATTGTTTCTTCCATGCAGTACCATGGAAAATCCAGTATTGCTGCAGTTGCTAATCAAGCGCCTCATCCATGAGCACAGACCATCTCTGCCTTGTTCCAGGTTTCCTTTTAGTTCATTTCTCAGAGTGTGGTTTTCTCCTCTTGTAAATCTCACACCTTTTTCTTTCAGATTTGTGTACGGGTATTTTATTTTTGGTAATAGTATAAGTAATTTTGTATTTTTAGCTTCAAATCACACATAAGTATTGAGCTGACATATAAGAAAGTGGTTTAATTTTGTATATCAACTTTGCATCCAACAGCCTTGATATTAAAAAATTACATCTGTTAAAAACTCTTTGGCATTTTTCTCACAGGTTATTTTATTATTGACAAACTTACAGAACTTTAGTGAAGGTTTGGAAATACCCTTCTCAGTCTTTTCTAATCTCATTAGCTAGAGCACTGTTTTAAAACAGTGTGAGGAGTTGTGGCATTTTGCCTTTTGCTGACTTTTGAGCAACAGTGTCTCATTGTTTACCATAAATATGGTGTTTGTTAAAGATTTTTTTGCTTTTGTTTTGCTTTAGATAATCTTGGCTATTACCTATCATTTAAAATAAACTCTCCTAGTTTACTGAGAGTTCATTTTTAAATGATGAATGACTATCATGCTTTTTAAAATGCTTTATTTGCATCTGTTACATGATTATTAACTTTGTCTATTAAAGTGGTTTGTTGAGATATGTTCTTGCTTAGTTGCCCAGGCTGTCTTTGGATCTGCAAGCCTTCTAATTTAGCCTCCCAAGTAGATAAAGTTACAGACTTTTAACACATATAAAGTAACTGGTTTGCAGTAATTAAATTTTGAACATGGGGTTCCCAATATTGCATAGCTGGGAGGAGAAATCACATTTGGTCATGGTATTTAAATTTTGAAGTACTTATTTTTATTTAGTATTTTGTTGAGGTTATTCACGTCTGTTTTTAAGGGGGCTATTATTCCACAGATTTTCTTCCTAATAGTATCTTTCTTGCTTGATTTTTGCTGTTGGGGTAATTCTGGTTTCATAGAATAAAGTGTTCCCTATACTTCGAGACTGTATAAAAGATTGAAGAGAACTGGTAATATTTCTTTCTTAATAGTTTTTAATGTAATTTCTCAGTGAATACTATTGGACCAGGTACTCTTTGCTTTAGAATTTTTTCTTCAGTGTCCTTAATAGATATTGTCCTAATCAAATTTTCTAATTTGGTATGTGTGAATTTTGACATCTGTTTGTTTGAGAACCTGGCCTCGTCTGGAGTGTAAAGTAAGTGAACTAAGCATGATTAATGCTATTCTTTTATTTTTATTCTAATGACTGTAGGCTCTGTAGTGATAGCACCTCTTTCATTTATGATTTTTACAAGATTTTTGTTATTCTTTTTTTGTTTCCTTTGGGTTTAATTAGTTGTTCTTTCTCTAGTTTTCCAAAGTGGAAATTTAGATTGCTGGTTTTTATATATTTATATTTTGCTATATGTTTAATCTTTTATTTTTTCTGATATGCACCATTTCTTCTGTATCCTACAAATTTTAAGAAAATTTGCTTTCATTTTACTTTCATTAAAACCCATTTTTAATGGAGAGATGGTTCAGAGGTTAAGAGGACTTCAGGTTCTTTCAAAAAACCTAATGTTGGTTGCCAGCACCCATGTTGTGTGGCTCATAACTGCCTTTTACTGCATCTCCAGGGTATCTGACATCCTCTTTCTGGCATGAAAAGGCAGACCCACACATGAGGCATGCACACACATGGCACCCACACACATGGCATGCACACACACAGAGCCCTCCCCACAAATAAAGTGAAGACAAATATTTAAAAACATAGCTCCAAAATTCTTTTAAGATTTTTTATTTGACCCATGTGCTGGAAGCATGTCTTTTAATCTGCACATATTTAGGGATTTTCCAGCTGTTTCTCTGCTATTTATTTCTGGTTTAATTTCGTTGTGGCCTGAGAGCAGGCACTTTATGATTCCTCTTGTGTTTGTCATGGTATGTTTTATGTGGTCTCTTTCTTGGTGAGCATCCCATGTCAGCTTGGGAAAAAATATTGGTTCTCTTCTGTTGGATGAAGATGTAAATTATATTACATTGATTGGTAAAGTTGATAAGTTCACCAATATCTTTACTGAGATCCTGTCTGCTGGATCTGTCCATCACAACTGGCTGAAGCTGAACTCATGAAACACGATAGAAGAT